TGACCGCACGCTACAGTAGCGGGGTGCGCATAACGCTGTCTGCACGCTACAGTAGCGGGGTGCATATAACGCTGTCTGCACGCTACAGAAGCTGTCTCTTATACACATCTAGATGTGTATAAGAGACAGATATAACGCTGTCTGCACGCTACAGTTTGCAGGGCGCATATAACGCTGTCTGCACGCTACAGTTAGCAGGGCGCATATAACGCTGTCTGCACGCTACAGTTAGCAGGGCGCATATAACGCTGTCCGCACGTTACAGTTAGCAGGGTGCATATAACGCTGACCGCACGCTACAGTTAGCGGTGCGCATATAACGCTGTCCGCACGCTACAGTTAGCAGGGTGCATATAACGCTGTCTGCACGCTACAGTTAGCAGGGCGCATATAACGCTGTCTGCACGCTACAGTTAGCAGGGCGCATATATAACGCTGTCTGCACGCTACAGTTAGCAGGGCGCATATAACGCTGTCTGCACGCTACAGTTAGCAGGGCGCATATAACGCTGACCGCACGCTACAGTTAGCAGGGCGCATATAACGCTGTCTGCGCGCTACAGTTAGCGGGGTGCGCATATAACGCTGTCTCTGGCGCCGCATATGCATTCAACTGCTCAGCTAACCGTGAGTTTTTGATCACATGTTGTGAGTCAAATCTTGCCTGAAGAATGAACATTTATCTCGGCTCATGATGTACGATGCTCACTTCCTGTGTCGTAAAATTTAGTTCAATAAACTTGAGTTGTGCATTCAACTGCAGCTAAGACCAGAGGCTGACCAGCCTTGTGAGAACTGACGTTGTATGAGCAATTCCCACGCAATCTCGCGCGCTCTTAAATAACTTTAAATGCTCCTTCCAGTTCCAGCGCTGTTTTTTAACAACTATATTTCCAGAGATATTTTTCGAGTAGTTTTTGTTCTCACATTCATTTCGTTGCGCGAGGTATTTGTTTCATTCTTCGATTTTTAACACCTAATTTTACTCCTGTGATTATGTTAACTTATCGCACGCGTTATTTTGCGGCTCTCAGTTTGGGGGATTTTATTACTCCTGGGATTACATTTAGTGTGAATCATTTTTCGGTAAAAAGTAGACACAAGACTACAGCGGTAACGAGAAAACTACGATATCAGGGCTCACTTTTGAAACTTTCGATTTTGGAATTGCTAATAATTTCAGCTGAGATAATTGCGTTATTAATCACCTTTTGGTGTTTAATTACTGGGCATTCACACGGCCGTCCATTATAATACAGCTAGTCTTTTGGGGGTTGTTGTTAGCCTGCAGTTTAGTAGGAGATGAAAAATTAATTCTTTATTATTTATTATTTACGGTGAGAGAATTTAGGAAGCCGGAGTTGAATGAACCGAGGTTCATCACTTATGTCCTGCCGTTTCCGTGCTATAAAACTTTTTTTTCTGAAGCTTTTATTATATGAGAATAACGTAGAGCGTTTCAAATATAGCAAGGGATGCGATTTATATGATCTGGTCCACCTCATGAAAGAAAGACTAGGATTAAAGAAATAATGCTCGAGCAATGCAGTTCATTTGGAATGCAAGTATTAATATTTTATAATTAGTTCAGCTCCCATTGCATAGATTTACTACGCGAAATTTTTGCCGTTATTCTGATCAATCCGATTTATGATGGGTTTTTTCAAAGTTTATTTATATATGATTGCTAGTGGAATAAAACTGTTTTCACAGCTAAAAAAAAACGTACGAACTTCAAATTTTAAGATACATCTCGATTAAAAGTCATAAAATTTCAAAATGTAAAAAAAACGATAATTTTTCTCTTTTTTGTCTTCTTCTCGAACCATCGTACTCGACATTCAGACGAGGTTTTATAGGTGCTGTGCCTGTTGACCGGAATTGAGGTTTTGAATCTTTGCTAACGAGATTTTTTATTCCTGTTTCAGTCATATGTGGATACCAGATGAACGTTTTGAAAACAGTCATGTATAGCAAGAGGTGGGCTGTAGCGCGCTACATGTAGCGACCGCTACTACCCGCCGCTACATTTTCAGTAGCGGTAACGGTAGCGGCGCTACATTTAAGCAATTATAGCGGTAGCGGTAGCGCCCGCTACATTTAGAGCATGTAGCGGTAGCGGTAGCGGCCGCTACATTTCAAAGTAGCGTTGCCCAGCTCTGTGCATAGAGTCGAAAAATCTTATATCAGGGTGAAGACGCCTTTGGTTGCTGATGCACACGGAGGTTGAGTAAAAGTTTGGCTACGCAGGTTGCGTGTGTGCAACATGTAAGGCTGACCGGGTTCCACTTTCATCCTTTAACCCACTTCGGTAATTGAGCCTCGGCTAATTTCCTGCTTCGCGACCGACCGTCACAAATGATCCTATGAACTAACTTTACTTGCATATCGTTATGCTTTATTAACGCAAGAAAATATGGAATGGTCAGTGAAATAACAAGGAGTATCGCATGCTGTGCCGACATGAGTTTCATGTGCCGATGTGGCGCTTAACATCTAAATATCACAGAAAAAAAAAACAAAAAAACTTGCTATTGAAGAAGACCCAGAAGTTTCGGAGCATTTACTACGGTCTTGGTTATTGCCGTCACCGTGCCGAGTGACAAATAAAAATTTGTATGTGTCGTGCGAAATCGCGGTATTGCCGATTCTATGGAGTTGGCAGCCAGTTGCCGAATCTGTAGAATCAGCGTTTCTATACTATAGGAATCTGGGGTTAGGTCAGTCAGCCACGTTATTTTTTAATATTTAAATATAAAAAAATTTGACCGAACTTGACCTAACATTTTCTAACTTTAACTGTCGATTTATGTTCTAACTCTAACGTCCGATTTTCTGGAATAAGCAACAAAATGCTGATTCTAAAGATTTGGCAACTGGTTGCCGATTCCATAGAATCGACAATTACGCGATTTCGGCACGATATATGCAAAATTTGTAAAAGAATAAGTACCAATGTCAACACCGTCAAATTTGAAAAATTCTCTCATTCACGGTGTTTACGATGATACTTATTCCTTTTCTGTCCTTTTAGTTCTCTGAAAGGACAATTTTAACAAAATAATCATCAGTAGGCAATGCATTTCTGCATTGCACTGTGAATTGATAAGGATGCATTGAGCTTGCCACTTAGTATTTGCGATGGCATGCCCGATGGAAGCTGTTCATATAATCCGGCGTGTAATATGATTAATGTGAGGGCAAATCTTTGTTTTCCGCTGAATTTTATCACAAATTTAGAAGATTTTCTGTCAGCCGAACGTCAGTCACTACGGTTAAAGGTAGCGCTCAAGCAAAACCTCTACGTAAGATTTATTCTCGGATGAAAAATACAATCATCACAAATTGCCTTGTAGAAAATCAATGCATCAATCAATTAACCACTTTAGTCTTGCGCAACAAGCTGGGAAACTTATTTATATATATATAATTAAATTGCGCAACAAGCTTGGGAAACTTATATTTATAATTAGATTTTTATCTTATGATTTCCATAGTTCAGATGCGAAGTTGCCAGAAAGACTGAAAGGTTCCTGGCTCTTAAATTGAATGTGAACGCAACGCATAACCGTTCGTAGAGATCCTCGCGCCATATGGTGCTGATGTCGCAGCTGCAAGTAAACTTGCTGCGACCACAGCTGCTAAACAGCACAATTCATCTCAAGTTTTATACTTTAATCGGTGGGAAATGCGATTTTTTGTAGACGTAGGTCATTGCTGCGAAGTGATCATGAGCTAATTCTATGAAATAAATTGGTTTATCAAACTGCAAAGTGTTTTTACTAGGCATATAAAATCGTATCAAGGTTATAGTAAAAGCCGTCATATTTTTTGTTTTCTTTTGACATTTATGTCCGTTTTCTTTTGACATTTATGTCCATTTCCAAATAACTGCAATAAATGGCAAAATAATTTAAACAACACGGTGGGAAAGTTGACCTTGTAACAATTTAATTCATCACCATAACGCTTCAAATACACTGGACACTTCACCATGAACTGACGAGACCTGCGCTGCCTGCATGGCTCGGCGCTCTGCCGCTATAACGCATAATTATACAGATTGAACTGTATTTGTTCAGGGTTGAGGTTGTTATGGTCTATAAGATCTATTTTTAGCGCATTTTGTCATTTATGGAAAAAAAGGCGCTATTGTGCTCGTCATGTCCGTCCGTCCGTCCGTCTGTCTGTCCGTTTGTATGTCTGTCCGTCCGTGACTTCACGTTTTCGTCGACGGGAAAATGCGCTCTCTGCCACTCACTGCAGTGATTAGTGAGTTATATTTTTTAGAGATTAACGAGTAAGCGAATTTTGGTTCTGATTTGCTTTTAATGATGTCCGATTATGTAACAATATTTGTTCTGTGATTGATTTCGAGCATTAATACAAATTTACCACGCATTGAAAAATGCTGTCAACTGGACTATCGAGACTTAAAACCAGACGCAGAAGCTTTGCTATTTCATTGGCATGTGTGCGAACTACGTGGTTCAGAGGGTTGAATAAAATCCTCGTACAATCTTGTTACGACTCGTTAGCTTCATTCATATAGGAGTAATATGATTATATTAACTCGAGCCACATGCCAACAAAGCAGTTTGTTTGTAGCAACGCTATTCCTACCTGAATTGTGATGTGGGCGGTTATGTTCAAGAAGAACTCTTGCTTCATGCACGCATTGTGCTTATGGTTTGCGTGCTCTAATCCCTGGACTATTGCAAACAAAGTGAGTCTAACAAAGTGAGTCCTGTGAGACCCCTGAGCCCATTTATTGTGTAATTGCTTCTTATATATTCACTGGCGTGATATTCAATGGGTAATTTATGTAAGGAATCACAACTTCTTAGGGTCTGTCAGAACTAGTCTGAAAATGCCAGACTTTTTTATCAATTACATTGTTCCTAGTGGACTGAAACTGCTTGTTAGAGCCTTCGTTATAAGCTGAGCTTTAGATTGTGCAATTCAAAGCAATATTTTCACGTGTGTTGTTATTATTTTCAGACTGCTAATTGCGCTTTGTCTACGAACCCATTTTTTTCCTGGACACTTGTTATCCCGCTGTACCCAAATGAAATTACGTTAGGGATTTGATGGATAATATCATTCATGTGAGAGTGTGCATTGAGGACTTTCAATTTTATTCTTTTCATGATTTAAATAACTGTAAATAAATCTTTGTCAAAGTTATGACCCACTGTGACTGATTAAAGCTCAAAATATTTCTGAATAGTGAATCCATTTGTGAGTGCTACTGTATACGTATTGAATCGTCTTCGCTTTCAAATGTAACACAAAATAGATAAAAAGGTTTTGGACAATTTTTTTGAGTGTTTGTTGACCGAACTTCTTTTGAAACTGAAGGTAAATCGGCATTATGTGTTTTATTATCTTCCACTGTTAACTAAAGAAATTGAAATTAAGAACCGATTTCCGTGAGAAAAAAAATAAGGTCTGACATGGAACGCAGCCGCCGGGCGTCGTCAAGCTCAGCGCTCAGTTACCTGAAGAAGCCCTTCTCCTGGAGACTAGGCGCCCTCAAGCTCAGGCGCTCCAAGGTAAGCTCTTCTCCTGGAGACTAGGCGCCCTCAAGCTCAGGCGCTCCAAGGTGAGCCCTTCTCCTGGAGACTAGGCGCCCTCAAGCTCAGGTGCTCCAAGGTAAGCCCTTCTCCTGGAGACTAGGCGCCCTCAAGCTCTGGCGCTCCAAGGTAAGCTCTTCTCCTGGAGACTCTTCTCCTGGAGACTAGGTGCCCTCAAGTGCCCCAGCTGCGGCTGACAAATTAAATGCTGTAGCTCCCGCCTCGGCGCATTTATTTTCTTCGCGAGTGAGGGGAATCATGAGGGCCTTTCCTGGTTCTTGATGGTCGAATACTGATTTAAACGATATAATTTTGCCTCAAACGCTGGGGGAATGCAGTGATTTCCACNCGATATAATTTTGCCTCAAACGCTGGGAAATGCAGGGATTTCCACGTATCATTACCATGTGTTATTCAAGGTTCGTATATTTAGTATTATTGCATGGTACATGCTGTCTCAACTTCAAGACTTTGTTCTTCTATTTGACTTTGATAAATTGCGGAACAAATAGCGCTGAAAAAAATGTATTATAAAATTATGGTATCCCAAATCTCGTTGTTAGCGTTATTGTCCATCGTGATTTTTAGTTTGTGCGATTACGTTACGCTGACTCTATATACAAACGCTGAACTTGATACTGATTCGTAAAGGCTGAAAATTTCGTTGCGATTGGAAATTTTTGTTGCACTAACGAACGATTCATCCTCAGGATACTGAGGATCCGCCATCCCTTTTTACTTACGCTTTTCGCTGAGAGACTTACTTTACATCAAAATTTACACCAGCGTTAAGTTGTTCTGTCAATTCAATGTAAGGGAACTCTTTTTCATTTTGCTCTGCATTAGCTGTTGGCTGACAGGGTTTGTGCACACTTCGCAATTTACATTCCGATATCGGGAGATCACGGCATAAATATGGTAATGGGTTTTCCCAATGGCCTTGTCTTATCACCTTGCTATTTAAAAGTTCTGAAGAAGCGTGTTGCAGCTTCAAATTATACTTAGAACACGATAAAAACTTCAATTTGAGTATTAATTGAATAACATATGTAATTAAAAAAATGATTATCACTGATTCCAATTCATTTTGTCGGGTAAAGATATGTAAATAAAATTCATTAAATACGGCGGAGCTAGAATGCACAAAGAGTAATTTTCATGAATGGTTGTTTTTCTATTGCTAAGTAATTGTTTACTCAACTTAATACATAAATATGGAAGCAAATTCAAATTTCTCTTCTTTCTCCGTGTAAAGTCAAGCCGAGCGAGTCACTTGCACGTACGAAGCCACTAGGAAACGTGTCGGTAATTACGAACGTTGTAGGCAGCTCGGTGCGCTGAAGATAAATTTTAACAATTGAATTAGCGGTGCCGAAGATGAGGAGAAGCTCGTTACTCGAATTGCCTCGAAGACTTCTAGGTCATCGTAATATCAGGTCTGGCCATTAGACGCTAACTGTACCGCTGCCAGGCTTCCTGTGAGACGCATGAGCGCAAATACGCCTGTGATGCGCGCGTAGGAGATGACTTGTTGTGGCTGTGATGCGCGCGTAGGAGATGCCTGTGATGCGCGCGTAGGAGAGAACTTATAGTTGTTGTGGCTGTGATGCACGCGTAGGAGATGACTTGTTGTTGTGGCTGTGATGCACGCATAGGAGATGACTTGTTGAGGCTGTGATGCGCGCGTAGGAGATGACTTGTTTTTGTGGCTGTGATGCGTGCGTAGGAGATGACTTGTTGTTGTGGCTGTGATGCGTGCGTAGGAGATGACTTGTTGTGGCTGTGATGCGCGCGTTGTTACTACTAATACTAAATTCCTGGCCATCGTCGGTTACCACTGAGAGGGTTCTCACTGTTCCCGCCTACCTTTAAATTTTTTTACCAGATATTACCCCTAAAATTTTAGCTTGATTTGGATTTTATCTTGATAAATATAACAATTATTGCGCTGTTTGAATTTAAATGTGAGTAGCTCAGGTCGAGCGGTGCCGTGTGGAGCATTTCCTTGTCAGACTCTACTCGATCTTTATTGTTTGATCTCACATTACATTACAGTTTAAATGTATTTTCACAGCATCTCAGTTAATTTTCGATTAGATAATAAGTTTAGATAATAATTTTTTATAATAATAATAAGATTAGATAACAATTAATTTTAGATTAGATAATAAGATTAGAATTTGAACTTATTCATCGAGTTGACATGAACGCATTTTTTTAGCTTATATGTTAAGCAATAAAACATCCCGGTGACGTGTCTTATTTATCTCGTTTAATTTGTACAAGAAAGTTCCAGTTCGATTTTGGAGCGCACTCTAACCGGTTAGACTTTCCATGCACTGCCGTATGGCGAACCTGTTGAAAGAAAACCCATCATTATGTTGTGTTGGTTATTGCATAGCTCATGAACTGCGACGGTTGTCTTGGGAGCGATAACATGTCACAATATATTGAGCTCTTATTTATTTATTGAGTTAATATCTTAATTGTTTTTACCTCACCTGTTGATGCAAGCTGCTGGTCGATAATTACATTCAACTGGATTATATTGTGTCGTTATTGAGGCGGTGTATATTGCAAAACTACAAAAAAGTCACCACAATATTTGCAATTTTTTAGTTACATTGCGAACCGTTTTTTTTATATCTTAAAGATTATCTATTAATGGATCACGGAAGGTTTTAATTATTTATGGAAGGAAGGTTTTAATTATTATTTTAATGGATCACGGAAGGTTTTTAATAGTGCAAGCAGCCCGCGAGGGCTCGGAGGAATCAGTTGTTGTCAAGGATGTCTAGAAAACTGAAGCAAACTCTTTAACAGATCGTATTATTCCCTCTCTTGAGAACCCTATTTAACTGAACACATTCTTCCCTCACTTGATTACCCATTCAACAGAAACCATTCTTCCCTCTCTTGCTCACCCTTTTTAACTAAGCTCATTCTTCCCTCTCATGATTCACCTCTGTAACTGAGCATATATACTTCCCTTACTTTATTGCCCTCTTAAACTGAACGCATTTTTCCCTCAATTTATTGCAAACGTTAACTTACCGGATTTATTCTAACACAGGCAGTTCGATAAAAAGGTTTCAAAAACGTCTTTTTGTTTAACATTTTTACTTGGCCGACAATTGACCACATGATGGAAAATGAAGTTCCCGTTTAATTTTAAGGAACAGCATGCATAATATAATGGAAGGTGATACATAATATAAAAATAGATACATCCTACAGAAAGATTTTGAATATATTCAGACAGGGGACCTCTAGAGGCATTGCAACTTCTACTTGAGTCGGTGAATCCTGATATTGTACAATATGTTTTATCAAGTATTATGGAATCCAAAATGTTCAGAAGTGAATTTTCCTCAATTACACATGTTATATCATACACCCATTAACATTCTTACCATTACTTCACTCCTACGTCCTGATGGAACCCATTAACATTCCTACCATTACTTCACTCCTACGTCCTGACGAATCCCTAGGTTGTCACACCGTGACCGACCCTCACTTAATTGCAAACGTTAATTGATCGGATTTACCCTAACGCCGGCAGCTCAATAAAAAGGTTTCGAAAACGTATTTTGTCTACAATTTTTTCTTGGCCAACATTTAACCACGTAACGAAAAATGAAGTTCCCGTTTAATTTCAAGTGAAAAATATGCAAAATATAAAGGAATGTGATGCATAATATAAACATTAATACATTCTACTGAAAGATTTTGAATATATTTAGACAGGGGAATTCTGGAGGCATTACAAGTTCTTCTTGAGTCGCTTAATCCTGATACTGTACAATATGTTTTATAAAGTATTATGGAATCCAAATGTTCAGGAGTGATTTTTCCCATTAACGTGCGTTATATCATACACCCATTAACATTCTTACCATAACTTCACTCCTACGTCCTGACGAATCCCTAGGTTGTCACACCGTGACCGAGCGTCACGCCAAGAGCTGCCGCGGTTGTCAACTTGAAAGCCATTGCTGGCAGGAAATTTTCAGCAAGTGAGGTGGCAGTTTCTTTTGGACTTTCTCCTTCTGTCGTACGTACAGTCTGCAGGTCATATTCCGGGCCTGCAATTAAACGCTACAGATACCGCGTCATTATTTCCTGTAGATACGCAAGCACGCAACGCTGGTGCTTTCCTTCCGCGATGTCTGATCTGCTTTTTAGCAGATTTTTTTATTACTTGTTCCGCCACGCTTCCCTCCTGAGGGACCGTAAATATCCTTTACTTATAATCCCAAATATAATAATGTATAAATATACTATCCTTGTAATGTATAAATATCCTACTATAGTTGTATTGTATTGAATACAAATTTTTTAACCAAGATTGAAATAGGAAAAAAAATTTTAAGATAACTTAAAGTGATATGGATTGTGATACATTTTTTCAAGAATATAGACATTATTCTGCATTAAACTTGATATTGATTTAGTTATAATAGAATTGACGATTCAAGCTATCGTGTTGTCTGATTCTATGATTGATTGAGTTAGTAGAATGAAGTGGAGATTCAGCAATGGATGGGAAGTGGCCAAGTGTCCGAGCGACGAACGATCTTGCTGCCATAATGTATCTAATTATTATTAATTTTCAAGTCTCTTACTGGTTGGAAGAATTGCATGCATTCATTCCGAATGCAAGTAGAAACGTCCAGAAAGCTTGGACTTACTTGGTTTCTCTGCCGACGAGTGTCAATCAAATTGAACAAATTTCAACAAACCTCTGCAAAAAAGAGGCACCTTTAAAGTTCAAAATCTCATTTTTTTCGCTAAATTCTTAATAAAATTAACGTATTATTTATTCTGCTAAAAAAACTTTTTGCCCTTGCCATTTGACAATTGGCGCCGCGAGACAGGGGTGCCTGCAACTATGGATGTTTTGCTGCTCGTTCGCAAGCGCCAGGATCATCAATTAAATCTGTGGGGCACGTGACTACCAACGCGTTGGCGTCTCA